AAAACTGAAATTTAACAGTAAATGGACAAATGAAGTATATACGTATAACTTATTGCATGTTGTAACATTTGCATTGGTAAATACAATGAATACTATTTAGGACAATATTTGTCTCCCTAAGTTCACCATGGAAAGAATGTCTTAGATTGCCTTGTTATCTTTCAAAAGCAGACGTAATATTCCAATTAATGAGCTGTATTCCAGTCACCACCGTCTTTTAATACGTTGTCTTTATTGGATTTTCTTCGGGATGATTTTATTTAGCATTACTCTAGAAATATTCCTCAATTCTCAATAACAATACTGAGAGGGATGTTAAAGAGCCATCAATGATTGCTCCCAAGAAGAAAAGGCTGATTTGGCTTGCATGCTTCCGACACTAATGACATAGATGTTGTTGAGGCTGATAAACGGGAAGTGCAAGAAAAAACGTGTTACTCGTCTCTCACTGAATAATGAACGGATTGACAAACAATGCAAGGGAATATATATATCTTCTAGCACTATTTAAAGTCACGTGGTTATTTGCACAAAATGTCACTTTGTGATATTTTGTACGAGACAACAAAATATAAATGAGTTTTTACATGTACCTATTATTAATTCACTGGTTAAATCTTATATAAATAATTGTTTGTGAGACTTTAGATATTCTCTTGACTGGAAATATAACATTTTGAAAATTATTTTTGTGATTTATTGCCCCTTGTTACCGTCTTGTGGTTCTTCTTTTGAAAGATAAGCTATTTGCAGAATCTCTTTTTTATAACGTTTACAGAATTGTTAAAAAATATCAAATCTGCTATTAAAATTCCTTCCTTTAATTTGAAATATTGTAGATTTTAAATAGATCCATTCAAGGCATTAGGGATACGATAGGGCCAAATAGAATATAAGAGTCTTACAAAACTGTCTTCATTAATCTTCCAGAAATGATGGAACAGGAAAATTAGGTGAAAACTTTTTTGCATGTTAGTTTCTAAATTGTTTAAAGCATAACCCCTACGGATATTTGGGCAAAAAATGGAATCACTTTTACAGAAGAACATAAAGTAGGTATGTTTCTATTTTCAATAACTGTGACATAATGATTTGTTTTTTGTTCTAACTTTCCCAGCGCACATTCAATTCTTTTGAACTTGAGAGGATGGGTATATAACTGAGCAAAAAGATTACTTGTACATACATGTATAAGTATCTTTATAAACACCTTCTATTGAACGACCACGAGACCACGGGTCCAGTGCCTCTTGAAATATTGTGTAGATTCTAATTTTTTTTCGATTCATAACTATACGGGAAGGGATGTCAATTTTTTTGATGAGGTCGTTATATGTTCTATCATATCGTTAAGAAAACACATGACAATGAATATCACGTCGACTCTTTCACTATGTAACAAATTATTCAGTGGTTTGGTTATTTACAATTAAAATAAAACAAAATAATAAGGAAAAAAGTGTATATCCCTTATTGTAATTAATACAGTATATAAGGTAATACTTTCTTTATGTTTAAAATCATTTGAACCATGAACTAATTATGGTATTATAAAGCGTTTTAAGATTGATTTTTTTGGGAGTACTATCTGGCATGAATTACAGAAGCGTTCTGAAATGTTGATAAATTACCCCCATAACACTCTCGTTATTATTTCCATGGGGGCAGAAGTAATCGATAACCATTTAACAAGTTTACGTCATTTTGAGATGAAGACATTTCAATCAAATTTTTAATTAGCACTAGGAGATCTATCTTTCTGGATTATGCTACTTGCTGTACTCGAAGTAGGCATAGAATGAAATTTTGGGAAAAAGTTGCATATTCTTTCAAAGTACATGTAAAGGTGCATAAGATACATAAATATTCTTTATATACATTATATATCTATATCCATTTATATATCCATATCCATTTTATATACGTACATAAACCTTTCAATGAAATAGTAATTGTATCCACAAAAGAACTCGGCAAACAAAGACTTTTACCGAGACTGTTGGTTTCCTTGTTTTATCAACTTGATAGTGAATAGCTTGCCTCGCTTTTGTTCGTACGTACAGCAGGATCTTGCGTATGGAATCAACTGGGAGACATAAACCCCGTGTCCAGGTGATAAGGGTACATGTATATTGCTACATAAGGGAAGATGACGATAAAACAGCCGAAGTCATCAAATTTATCATAAAGCTTCGTTATTAGGTTACCATTAATGATTTTCCTTAGCAAAATATCAAAATATATAACAGATGTGTCAGCCTTTGTGTTATCTTTTATTTCAATTTCACTAGGATATGCTTTGGGAATCATTGTCTAGTTTTAGGGTATGCCAAAACTTCAACGATATTTCACATTTCCAACTATCGTTGATGTCCCCCATTATGCATAAATTATCCAACGTTTCCAATTATCGTTGACGTCCCTGACAATAACCTAAAAGTTAGACAGTGAGTCCTTATTTTTCAATTTCGTGAAATAAAATTGTAAATTTAGATTGAAAAAAGTGTGTATGATAGGTTTAAATTACATATCCCCCATGTCAATTTCAATAGTCCCCACTCACTGACGTCAGACACAAAGACAGACGCACGTGATCTACACGCACCAGGCACGTAGCATCGTTTTTAAAAGTGGGGGGGGACCTGCCAGAGAAATTTGTTTTTACTAACCTGAAAAAGTTGACAAGCAAAATAAAAAAAATAAGGAAAAGTTGTCCAAAGTTGGGGGAGGGGGGAATGTAGAGGCCAACTTTTTCTTCATGTCAACTACTTTCATTACCAATTCCTATACTACCGTATAGCGGGTAATTTTAGCGGGGTGCTAATTTTGGCTATATTTTCCGTACATCACTAATAGGGGTCCGCTAAAATAAATTACGCCAAAATTATTGGGGCGGGCAAAACGCCAAATTTTACACCCGCCAAGAAAACCCGCTATACGGTATATTTTCCGTACATCACTTTTGATTAATATTTCCTATAGTATAAGTAAGGTTGGGGAAAAAAGTGTTGCTACGTCCCTGCGCACATAAGGCTTCCTGAGCTCCTGCCCTTTCGCTCGGTGAAATTTACATTCGAGTTGAATTATCAAGAAATCTACCAACCTAACTTTCAAACATAATAATGGACAATCAGTGTAAACTACATATGATATTGATTGCTGTGGTTTTGGGTTGTTTTTTTTTCGAATGCGAAAATTTAGTTCATTTATATTGTATAACTAATGGTGTGCTTCTCTTTGCTTAAGAGTTGAAGAGAAACTAGTAAATTACATATAAAAATTGCATATGATATCTAAATATATAGGTGAAGATGTCTCGTTTGTCAAATAGTTTATTTTCAAGGATTTTAAAGTGTACAGTTACCAGTTCAAAAGAAGCCTCATTTAAAAAGTATTGCATTTTTTAAAGAAAATATTTAAGTTTAAAGAATAAAGATAGCTCTCTAGCTTGGCTTGAGATCTGTCACCTTCAAACTTGTATTGATGGAGTCCTACTTATGTGGAGAATATTTGTTTGATATATAAAACGAACAAGCTCACAATCTTAATTATTTCACTGAAATTTTCGATAGTAAAGTTTGCATGGAAAAGTGTCGTCTTTGGTGGAGTTTAACCTCTCCCAATTCCACGATCAGCACTTCGAGACCTGCCTCCCACTTCTAGTGTTGCCTCTTAATTTTCCTAACTTTATTTTAGTATGGTTTTCTACCTCTTTTCAAACCAAATCATTAAAGGTTTTTGTCAATATATTAACCTTTTTAGTAAAATTGCCATCATATCAGACAGAAAAGTAAACAATTTCAAGATGCATAATTTTATTAAACGTAGTTGACCTAGTTCAATAAAAATAGAATAATTTGTAAAATTGTTTTAAAGTGCTCCTTCTATTTCAATAAATACTTCGTTATATGTTAACTATCATGAAGATGGATATTTCTGTTAATTGTTCCAGGTTAACAAAATGAGATGTTGCCAAAATCAAAAAAAATATGTAAAATAAATTCTTTCAAAATACTGTTTCTCCTCCTGCTACATAGATAAGTGTAGATAACAATAAAAGTTTTTAAGTTATCATGTTTATTATGAGCCTTAGCTTTTAGTTTGCCTCAATATCTTTCTCTCATAAACCTATAATTTATGTAATCCTAGTGATCTGGCTAGAGTACCCTTGTAGTTAAAATATAACAAAGACAATGTATATTCAGTTAGAATTGATATTTATTAAATGACAATAAGTATATAACACAAACACAGTTAAGGGGAGATCACCGGGATATTTTCTTAGTACAAAGAACAATAAATTTGGCAACGGTATTTCCCCTGTTGCAAAAAATCATCACTTTGGCAAAAATATTTTAATAAAAATAATAAAACATTAAAAATTGATAAGCTATCATCATTATATCAACATACCGAATTACATACCACTCCATAAATATTTCTTTCTGAGTTAAACATTAAAAACAAAGTTTTCTCAACAGTCATTTTTATTAAAATTTCATTTTTAAGCTGCATGTTTTAAGCTTCATGTTTGTATTTTTTATCATTTAAAATTGCTTAAAAATAATCTTTTCACTAAAACAGTGAAAGCTGAAATAGTTTTTTTTTTTTGCTGAAGACATTTATAGCCGGTATGTTCACTGTGCTTATTGTCATTATTTTTCATAAAACCTTTTGAAATTAAGGAACATAACGAACAAAATTGTATGTCAGAGTTATGGAGTTATAACATGTATACCGTGTTTTATAGGAAGTTATGTCACTATAAACCATTTATTCTCCGATTTCTCTTCAGCTCTTACAATGATGGATGCTGATGAAATTGAGGATTTGAAAATTTGCTCTCATAGAGATTCATTTTTAATTTTGCTGATACAAGATTCTTCTTTGCCCTAATCTCGTATGTTTTTAGAAGAGTAACAGAACAAAGCGAAAACTGATGACAAAAAGACAGTTGGATATTACTGAATCTTCTCTATATGTCAATTTATTTCTGATAGTTGGATATCATGGTATTACCAGACTGGAAAAGTTGATCACGGGGAATGTAAAGGAATATTGCTCTTTCATGTAGCATTATTTTTGTGTGACAATTCAAATTAGGGTAAGGTTTTACCTAAGTTACATGAATTTTCAATGTTAAATATTTTCTTTTCACTAGTCATACATAGCGCGTTCCAGCAAATGTCCAACCGAACCTCTTTTTTCACTACTCACTAAGATATAAACAGTAGTAAAGGAGAAACTTCAGGAGTACTGTGCGACAATATATTCAAGAAGTGGTGTAAATCAGATGTGGATACTTAAAAATTCCAGGGAAATTTTGGAAATTTTGAAATCACAAGATTTTACCAAAATCATCAGCTTAAAAACTTACGACTTTTCAGTTTAATACATAAAGATAAGATTAGATAATGAACAGTTATGAAGTTGACATTTTTGAGATACAATTAATGTTGAGTATGTTTAATTATAGGAAAAACAATGGAGAAAAAAATTAATATCTTATTTACTGATCTATGTTTTATTTATATAATTAGATGGGCTTTATTTCTTTAGAAGAAGAAAGGAATGGATGTTACGCATTTAAGTTAAAATAATAATAATAAATAAGTACTTGAAAAGAAGATAAAATATCATACACTCAAGAATTCCGCAAGGACAAATTTATTCTTCAGAAGTAAAGGATATATGTACTATACATTTTCAGATTTCAATGAATCTGCCTTAGTTCAGTAATTTTGCAATTTCAAAATTTTCATGAGATTCTATTTTATTGTGTATCATGCATTTTAGAAAGTCCAATTACACGTAGAAAGAAGAACTTTTACTTAAATTTGTCTTGTCAGTTTCTTTCAATTCTAAGTACATGTATGACATAAATGAGTGATGGGCTAAGGTCTTTGATTTATTATCAACATTTAGTTAGGAAAGGTCTTGTATCTATATTTTGTTGTCAAAATTACGTAAAAAAAATCCTAAATCAACTGTTCCCAGGAACTCATCTAAACAGTTAAACAAACAAGCAGCAAGAAGGCACTAAGGAATTTGGAGATTTTGATAAGAAGAGAGGCAAAGCAGATATTCAATTTAATTGCCTAACAGAGTACGTCTTTCCCTTTTAGCTATACGCCTGATATTTTCTTTATCTATTCAAAAACAACTCTAGCAATATACTAAAAATATAAAATATAAAATTACCTTTTTGACAACATTTCTGTATATTTCTAACTGATTTCTTAATACTGGTTTCTGCGGATGTTAAATTAGAGTATTACATATTGATCATTTTCTGTACTAAAATAACAAAATGGCATTTGTAAAGAAATGACACTCTGTCTTTAAGAACTTTGCGGAATACATATCAAAACCCGACTGTTAAGCTTAACAAAATGGAAATTCTAGCAAAACATCCGCTAAGGGAATTGAATGATTTATATTTGTGTTATACGTTACAATAAATACTTTTGGAAGGAAATCACCATTTACTGAAAGGGGGCGACCTCATTACAGAAACCCATTACTTGGATTTCTAAATAATTTATTTGATCCTTGTCAGATTTTTTAAAAGTTCTTCGTAAGAACATTTTCGCTTAAAAGAAATATAACTTAAAAGAAATCTTCATTTTTGCATGGTGAAATATTAGTAATTTTTTGCATTTTTTTAGTTTGACAAATTCAGATGATTGTGTTATAAATTTTCAGCAATTTATTTCTAGCAGGAAGTAATTGGGTTTTTCTTTCATATGACAAATTAAAACTTTTGTGCAAATTAGCTTATCTGGCATCATACAAAACTGATGAGCTTAGGTACAATCACTTTTCAAAAGAATAGGTTAATTATTCTGAAAATTTTCACTGATTTGATAAATTTTACCTAGTATTTGAAAGGATTTATTGACATGTATAGATATACAGCTACAGTATGTTTGATGAAACAAAAGATACCTTATGGGGCAAAAATGAACTCTGTGAACATGAAATATCTCAATTTTTAAATATCTTCTCAATGTATTTATTTTCGAAAATGAAAGAGAAATGTGGAATGAACTTTCTTAACACCCTTTACAAATTAAGTCCATAAAACATGTTTACAAAATACGCGTATTCAGATCAAAAGCTAAAACAATACAAAATACAAGCAGAGCAAACATGGACTTCCAAAACTTCAGAGGTGGAATGAAGTGCCGTTGAGGAGTGAGCATCCCTTTCCGACCGATCACACCCGCCGTTTGCTCCTTGTCATGATCGGGAAATAACGGGAAAAATCCGTCGTCAATTCAGTGTATAAATAGTGGATTAACAATTAGTATGAAAAATCTCAGTTAGCATTTGATTCAATGATAAATTGTATTTGCTGACAAGTCCATTGTATCGACCATGGAACTTAGGAAATGAAGACTCTAAACGAGAATGCTGATATTCTTGTTTCTTCAATTTGTTTATTAATGATTTACCTCGAAATAGAAATTGTTCATACGTAGAGCATGTTCTTGCGTATCATTTCAACTGGAGAAATATAAACTAAGTATGCAAGTAATGAAGTTATATTGCTGCAAAAGTAAGGGGAGTTGACGATGGTAAAGTGAAGTCATCACGTTTATCATAGAGCTTGATTGCTAGATTACCATTAACGTCTTTTTCAAGTTTAGTATCCAGATATGAAATAGATGTGTCAGAATCTGTGGTATCTTTTATCTCAAGCTCATAGGGATATATCGTATCTACATAAGAATGGAAATTACCATTGTTAATTGACAATACGTTGTCGATATATCTAAATCTCGAGTTGATGGCCAGAAAGTGTTTTCTTCTTTTCACGCAGAAGATTTTGGACAAATTCTGCTGCTTATGACTACAAAAATAGGTCTGCTAATAACGGGACGTAATTGGTACCCATGGTGATTCCAATAGATTGTTGTAAGACCTGGTTTCCAAAAACATAGATACGTATGTTCAATCAGAAACTCAAGCATCTTTTCAATGTCAACTTCAGAGTACTTGTGAGTACAATCAGAATGTTTTTTAACAAAATAATTTTGCAAATGACCAATGACAAGGTAAGTAAATTTACGAGTTCAACTTTTATAGAAGAAGCAGCTGTCGATGATATCAGAAAGCCTGAACTTTAATTTATCGTGGGGAATGGTTGTGTATAAAGTTGAAAAGTCGTAAGTTTTAAAGATGATATAAGAATTTACAATCTTCTTTAGTAAAACAGCCAATTCAGGCAAACATCTTTCGAAGATTCGATTCAAATTATTTTAGTGTATGGTCACGAAGGCTAGGGTGGGACCATAGCATTGTAATGTAACAGATCACAGTACATACACTAGACAAAATTGCTAACGCACCATTTGTTAGTTCTTATTTGTGAATTGATAATTTGCCGAGTGGGTACTAGTGTATATAATATGCCATTATTTCTAAAACAGTGGGATTGACAAATGTCTTGGTATCATGAAAAGACCCTTAAATGACCTTCTTGTCCAAAAACCAATTTCCAGATGTGCACTGCGCACCATTTTTGCCCAGATATGAAATTGTTGACCACTAACGGTGGTTTGTAGTAGTTTCCCAGTTATAAATTAAATTATAAACAATCATTGACTCTCACATCGTCTAGTAATCAGTGCCTCAAAATCCATACCAAATCCACTCAACTTCCGGTTGACCTAGTTTTGTGGAACAATTTTTGTTATTGTATGCTGCTTACTTAAAGTCGTGGTACCTAAGTAAACATTTTTATGGTTGTTAATCTATCTGTAACAATTTATCATAAGTGGAATTCATTTTCAACAGATTGTCACTGTGTGCTTTAGCACGCTCTTCAAGCGTCAAATGCCACATACGCCGTAACTTTTTTTTCTGAGTTTTTAATTAGTACAAATGTGAAGAACACAAATACAAAGAAAAAATTGGATTTTTTTCTTCGAAAATGGAATAGACACGATTTTATTTTTTTCTATGAATTGGTCACACTTCAGTAAACATGAATTGGTCACACTTCAGTAAACATTGTACTTATTTATAAGGTTTGACATTTATATGCCTTACTTTTTGTTAAAGTAACATATTTATAATTCAAATACATCATAAACAGGTTTTTAAAAGTAAAATATTAATTCTCTTAGGTGGTGCGTTAGTAATTTTGTCTAGTGTACAGGGTAGCGGTATTTTGTAATGATTTTGTAAAAACAACATATCCTATAAATTCATTACACCATTTCAACATTGTCACGTGTAATTAACGACCCAGGATCTCGTATAATTAGTGACCCACGATCCCATATCTGATTCATCAATATCGTAGTGGAAATTAATCATAGTACTTAGGTGCTTCAATTCATTTCTCAGCTGTTAATGGTGGTCTGTTCAAGAGAGACCTCACACTTCTAGACAAGATCATCCTCAGAGAATTGACCTGATCGACTGAAATATGCAATGAGTCCTTTACCAAAATTGTCAAATTTATGACCCTGCATTGATGGGTTGAGTTGGTCTTAAACTGAAAAATATATTTATTTGTTTGAAAATCTCTTTACTCATGGACATCAGTTAAGCAGGCAAAATGTTTGCTATATTACAATTATTGCTTTGCCTTTTACCAAATATTGAAAAGTTCACGGATCCCTCGCCTAAATTTCAGGGCTCAGAATGATATAAGATTAGTAACATGCTCAAAACATGTGAGAATACAAATAATATTTTTTAACATCACTTAAAATATTTTTCTGCAACCATGGAAATTTAACTGCAAATTGTATGTGAATGTCTAGTACACATTAAGTATACACTCCTACCAGAACTGTGAAAGTACTATCACATTAGGCCAGAATTCTGACTCCGGGAGGCGCTAAGGTGGTCAAAACCTGACAGACGTAGCAGGTGTTCATGAATCTCTGGGTTTTTTGTACTCTTAATTTTTTAATTTCTTATAAAACTTGCCGATTGCATTTTTTTTCTTTTTGTCATCTAGTTCTATCTAAAATTTAGGTTCCCTGACTTTATTGTTTTAATAAAGTTTAATCCAACTATAGCCAAAGGATATATTTTGCAGTGGTGTGTGTTATAGATATGGAGGATGGTGACATAAATAGTGCAACATAAGATTAATGTAGACAATTTAATTTAGGGAATATATAGGACACTGAATGGTCACAGCTTGTATTTGTTTCTACATGAAACATGTGCATATAGGTTAATTTGGTTTATAGTTACTATTGATCTTGAAAATGCATCCGGTTCTTGTTTTTCATTAACTATGAAAATTCTATTTTGCAGTAACTTGTGTGATTTGGGATATGGAGAACATTTCGGAGAGTTCCAACCTAACAGATTACCGGTGTGCTATGTCTAGCAGTAGAGGAAAAGCATATATTTGCATCATCTCGGAGTTTGCACCGATGACCGTTTGGTTCGATCGCTACGTCACTATTTTCTGGTACTGTGTTGGAATTACCGGAAATTCTCTGACTATTAAAATATGGTCCAGACGCGTGAGCAGGCTAAATATTTCTGCGCTTTATTTAATAGTACTCGCTTTTACAGATTTGTTTTATCTTTTTCTGCATGTAATCCAAGAACTTAAATTCGCCTGGGGAGTCCCAAGTATTGACATTGCCGGATGGTGCCAGGTTTACTTTGTGTTTTACATGTTTGCGATGTATATGAGTCCATTTCTAATTCTTGGATTTACAATTGAACGGTTTTTGTCAATTAAAAGTCCTTTCAAAAGTCAAAGGTTTTCCGTAACAAATCGGGGGCCTCTTGAGATATCTGGAATCACCATGCTTGCCCTCTTGCTGGCAATACCTCAAATGTTTTCGTGGGAAATAATACAGGGCGAATGTCAAGGACCGCATCATGACTTTTATGCCGTTTGGTCCTGGATTTCAGACAGTCTCGTTTTCGTAATATTTCCTGTGACGTCACTTGTTCTTAATTCTCTAGTGATGAAAGCAGCATCTAAGGCCGACAAAAAACGACAAAGTACTTTACCTCTAAATCGAAGGAAGTCCACACCAGAAAAATCTGCCCATCACAATAAAACAAAGCACAGTCCCTCCACCTTAACGTTATTGTGTGTGTCATTTTACAGGATCATAACAGTCATACCGGTGACGATTGCATTCGCTCTTCAGGGAGAATTCAAGCCAGGCAGTTTGGAACTCTCGCTGTCTGAAATAAAGAACGATGATGTGTGGTCCGATCATTTTGTGTGGTACAGAGCGAAGAAAGCCGTGGACGAGATCGGTCTATCACAATACAGCTGTAATATCTTCATTTATTTAATCACCGCTACTCACTTTCGGCACGAAATGAAGAGGCTGTTTTATTTCGTGCCCTTTATGCGGCCTGATGCAGGATTTTCTGGCAGTTTTAACAGAACTTCTATAGAACTTAGTTTTCTTAGAAATAAACCAAAGGATAAAGTCGATCAGTTATAAATGTTCTCGGTTTCTTGATTCCAGTTCTTCTAAGCTCTACTGATCAAATACGTAATGCAATGAAAAGGTCTGCGTCTTCCGCCCGTTTGTCTATTTCTGAACAACTTTTAACCACTTTACCTTTCTGCAGTTTAGTATATGTTTAATAAAATTTGGTATAGAAGTAGAAAATTTTTTTAAAAAATTATTATGTAACGGTATTAACGATGTGTTGGTTACTAAAATTGAACATTTCTTAGAAATACAAAAATGCTACTCCTGCTAGATTTTGTCTGTTTTCGATGAAAATAGAAAAATAAGTAGCCTTTACAAAAAGACACAAGTTTCTTTATAAATGAATTAAAGATAACGAATTGTGATCGATCTCATAAATATAAACAAGACAAATCTGTAAACAGGACATTAAACACGGACCCATGGAAAATCAAAAGGTGGGATCAGTTGCCTAAACTAAACCATATTTTGTAATTCTATGTATGTACTGCCTTAGTTTCAAGTTGAAATAATAATGATAAATTCTTTTATTTAGACAGGATAGCACAATTAGTACATATGACTAGTTTACATTGTGGTCCTGTATAAAACATATTTACAGACAACACAACTTTTTATATCCTTTCTTATACGAATAATCAGTAGAGCTGCAGATTTTAGTTTTATCCGATGAATTTTTGATAGCCTTGTTAATATGTTAATATAATTTACATTTGCAAAACGACGATATAACCATTCGAAGTACAATATTTACCTCATCCTTCGGCCTCGGTGAATATTAAACCCCTCGGATGGCTATTTAAATCGTCGTATTGACCTTAAAAACAGCAATAATTGTATATAATTCAAAACAAAATACTGAGTTGGACATATTTGGTCTCTTTATAAAGAACTGTGCTTGGGAGGAGAAGAAAATTATTTTTATAAAGTATCCATTTCTGTTATTTTACATTAATAAATGATTCCATTTTTTAATGCGTGCTTATGTCATGTATCATTCTGAAATTCAGGGCATACCTTGTTAACCATAAATTTGACCTTTTTTCCACTAGTGATACTTGGTATTAAAGAAGTGTGCTCGCATTTACAATAGCATTTCTTAAGATTATATAGAGCAATAACCACAATTCTTCGCTTTCAATGACTTTCGAAAATAAGGTGTCGAAAATTTAGTGATCTACAGTACTTGGTATTAAAAAAATTCAAGCTTTCGTATCTTAAACCAATTCTTTGGTCTCGTGTTAATCGAAGGAAAAAATGTGCAATATTTTTATTTCATTGGAAATATACTCTTTAAAGATTTTCATGAAGTTATAATGGACCTGTATTTTATATTTCTGTGGAAGATTCAAAATATTGACTTTCCTGGAGCTTTTCAAGTAACCTATTTAAAAGTTATACCGTCAGGTTGGAAAAGTACAGATATTGAAGTAAATCATGTGTGAACCGAGGCACCCTAAAATCCAAGATGACGAATATCGAACCTTTCGTCTTATATAAAGAAATATTATATTCATATTAAAATTATTATAATATAAAAATATTGTATTTATGAATCAAAGATTCGGCAGTACATGATCTTTGTCCTGTCTGTATGTCCGCAAAAACTTTAACCTTGGCCATAACCTTTGGGTGTGTGGGGCTATGGTATTCTTTTTTACATGTATATTTCCTGTGACAAGACCTTTCTTTGCGTACCACCAAACTCTTGACTTTGACCTTTGAGTTTGACCCACTTTTACAAAAAAAATTACCACACACTAATTTTGGCCATAACTTTTGAACAGTTGGTCCCAGGACATTCATACTTCACATATGTATTTATCATGTCCCCGTAATCAAAGATTCGGGAGTATATAGTTTTTGTCGTGTCCGTCCGTTTGTCTGTTTGTTTCTCCGCAAAACTTTACACTTGCCCTTAACTTCTGATTTAGTGGATCTATGATTTTCATATTTCACATGTGTATTCCTTGTGACAAGATCTTTCTTGGGTGCCACCAAATTTGACTTGAAGTTTAGATACATTTTTACACAAAATTTCCAAACTTTTTCTTTTACTTTGACCATAAGTTTTGAACGGTAGATAAAAAAAACTTTCATACTTCACATATTTGACATATATATATATATATATTTTTGTGACAAAACCTTCCATTGAACACCAACAACTTTAAACTATTGAATTTGACCTTGGAGATTTACGTACTTGACCTTAGTTTGACTTAATTTTTAAAAACAAACAATGACTATAACTTTTGAAGGGTGAGGGCTAGGGCTTTCAAACTTAACACATGTAATCCTTGTGATAAGATCTTTCATTGGATACCAACAACTTTAACCCTTTGATCTTCACCTTGGAATTTGACCTACTTTTTAAAATCTTTAACCTTGGCCATTACATTTGAACGGTTAAGGCTAGGACTTTCATACTTCAAATATGTAATCCTTGTGATAAGACCTTTCTTTAAAAACCAACAACTTTGACCCTCTGACATTGCCCCTGGAGTTCGACCTACCTTTCAGAAACGTATCATTGATCATAACTTTTGAACAGGCGGTGCTATGTCTTTCATATTTCACAATTGTATTTCTTGTGAAGCCTTACTTTGGGTCCAGGCCTTTTTAACTTGACCTTAGAAGTTGACCAAATTTTTTAAAAACTTTAACCTTGGCCATAACTTATGAACAGTTAGCACCAAGCCTTCCATATTTCACAGTTGTATTCTATGTGACGGACATTCTTTTGGATTCCAACAATTTTTATATTTGGAGTTTGACTTGCATCTGAGAAACTTCATCCCTTGCCATTAGTTATCATACGGGGGCATCAGTGTTTCGCAAAAACATCTTGTTTTAAAAACTGCTATTTTTTTTTTATTTTAATGAGTGTACATGTACAAAGACCTACCTAACAAAAGTATAAAACACTAAATGATGACCCCAAGCGTCTTTGTTCTAAATAATATGCAAAAACTTTAGTAAAACAATGCATGAAATAAATAGAATATCAACAGTCTCGTTTAAAGTTATCATTTTGTAAGTTCTACGAAACAATGACCTTGTCAGCAAATACATGTACAATCTATCATGAAGTCTTATGCTGACTGACGACTGGTGTTTTTCATACTAATTGTGAGGCCACTAGTTTTTTTCCGTTAATGACAAGGAGCACACGACCGGTATGACTGCTCAGCAAGGGATGCTTACTCTTCCAAAGCACCTGATCCTACCTCTGATGTAAAAGAGGTCTGTGTTTGCTCTGCTCTAAAATTTTTAGCTCTTAATGTTTCTGTTCTGTTTATATATCAGGGATAACCCCGGTAGATTTAGAAAAAGGCATGGGTAATCGGCATTTACGAGGGCTGTTCAATAAATAATGTCCTCGATGCTCAGAAAGAAGCAAACGACGCTTTTCAATGATTTAGTCTTCATGATTTTACTTATTAATCTCTTTTAATTCCAACACATGTCTGTAACATTTTTTATCCAATTTCTGATTGTTTTTAGAACTCATTTTTTGGTATGACCCTTAGTATACTGGAAAATGGCAGATCCAATGATTCCCTGGACTTGTTTTTTTCCTTCAGAAAGGTGTTCTTTTTCAAGTTTGGAAATAGAAACAAGTCAAAAGGTCAAAGATCTGGCAAATATTGTTAATGTGAAATCTTTACTCTTCAGGGCATGCGGCTTTGGACGCTGTCATGAAGAAATTCAATGTAGTGAATTCCTGATTCTGGGTCCATCCTCTAATAAACCTTTCGATATTTTTGCAAAAAAATTGCTTTCCAGACTCCTCCAGATATTAAACTGTCTCCCCGAGTACGAATTTGAACAACAATACCACTAATATTTAAGAAAATTGCATATGAATCTGTCTTTGTGCTCTTGCATACCTTTGCTTTTGTCAAACCTTCGCCGTTTTTATCAAGTAAATCTTATGGTAAATTTTGTTTTGATGATTTTAAGCAATAGATTCATGTGACAATATCTGTTTGAATATAAAACAAACGTGGATAACTACAATTACTGATATTTTAAAATAATTGTTAAGACTTTCGTACATGCTGTCTTTTTCACTCATTTTTCAAATTATAGGGTGACCTTTGAGTACCAAGCTTTTTTACTGTCAAACGTTTCTTAAAAACAGTGTAAACTACTCCCGATATGATGTCTACCAAATTTGCTGTGTGTCTTAAAGTCAATCATACATCATCAAATATTATTTGTTGAAATTTGACAAACAATACATAAGTTGTTATAATTTTTGTTGGCAAGGAGGGTACCCATTTTTGATGTCAATTATATAATTTTTTTATCATTGAAATCCACCTGCTCATTTGTCTATAAAACAGGCATCGGTTGCTGTAAATGACACATAATTCAGTGAATATTTCTTTGGGATTTTTAACAAGTCTTAAAGCAGCTTTAATGTAGCCTTTATTTTCCCTCTAGTTTACTGTTTCTTTACCATTCATTTATAGTGCAGTGTCTCGAAAAGCCCTTATTTCCCAGTTTCTCACGATGAAACTATGTGATCAAAAGTGGTCACATAAACTGTTATAAATTCAGTAAAGATTCAATAATGAGAGAAAGTCAAGTTTAATGTCATATGATATCTGTATTGTTCAGGACATTATTTATTGAACAGCCCTCGTAATTGTATAGATACATTTTAGTCGACAAAAGCGACTTCTGATTAGGTCTGTTCGTATTTAGTTGTTTTCTAAGTATTTCCACATCTGTTTAGAATGCTCTAAATGAAATGCCCATGATTGTTTTCAGTGGTATACTGTTAATGCATTTGGTTATATCAGTTAGATAGTTCACACTCCGGGTTGGTGCATTTCCATGTAGTTTGTACGATCTTATGCTAACCACTAGGTATACTGCAAAAACGAATTCATGACCACCACGAAATGTTAAATGACATATGCATTACAACTAAACATTCTCGAACAACGAAAATCAAATCCCCACAAATCTATATATTTTTTTTTATTATAAACATCGAAAATTCCTTCATCGTGTCAACCGATGACTTTCTTTTCTGTGATAATCTATTTTATCTGATTACAGTACAACACTCTACATCGTCATATCTTTGTTTTGTTGACCGCGTTTATTTCTTATCATTATTACTAAAATGATTTCGGAACGTTTAATTGGAAAGACGGTTTTGGTAAGTTAAACGAGTGTGTTAAATATTATATTTGTT